CATACAAGTCGTATATCAAAAGTGGAGAGGGCCTAGAAGAGGTAGACCAAGAAAATGATAAAATGATTACATAGTATAATCTCTACAACAGCACGATACGTCCACACTGAGGCCGCTATAAGAGCGAGAAGAAAAACCTTATATCTTCTGTAACACCCAAAGCAGTCAATGAAAAAGTAAAGAAAACAGAAAAAGAGGACCACATATTTTATGTGAAACTAGCTTGAAGAGCGGTGGCGAGGTGTGTATAGCTTTGGCAGGTAACTTTTACACTGGATAGGGTATCACGTGATATCTTCCTACTCGTCGCTTCGCTATTCATTGTATGCGTGCACAGCCAGCATCATAGTACTAGTAACTAGTAGCTTTCACACTGTAAGTTTTGCGTGAGTGGCGTGGGCGACTTTGTTGTTGTTGTTGCTGCTATGTTCAATACGTAAACCGAGTAGAGTATTTGAAATAGTTGCAATAAATAGAGTAAACAGGAGTAATATATAAACCAAAATAGTTTTCTTTGGTAATGGAAAATTTAAGCAGCGGTTACAGCGGTTACATGCAGCCCTCGCCACTATTGAAAAGAGTTCTTCACTTAAAGGACAAACAAACAGGATTTCCCGCCGGAGCTTACAGCCGGTTAATGAAAAAAAAATAGGATGGTTTAACGCTAACACTAAAGTTCCGTAATTCTGTTTCACTACGAATATTAAAAACAACTGACAGTTTGCTCCCTTTAAATTACAGCTCCAGCAATCCATTGTGTTTACATGTCATGTATCTGGAGAGCTCTGGAGGCTATTAAAATAACAGACCACCAAAACTTCATACTGTCTCTGCCCCCCCCCTTCCACCCTCCCCCCGTCTTTCCCTTCCCCTTTTCCATAATTGTCAGAGGCACCGGGTGCTCTTCCCAATAATTTTAAGAGGGATTAAGGGTCCCTTACTCCTGATTTATCTCTGGCGGCGCCCATGCTCCAAATAGTCTGAGAAGGAAAGGCGACGAATAAAAAACTAGCCACGCCAAATTCGTTGTTTCTGTGCAGAATATGTGGATACCTACAACTTTACACCGGATAAGCCGTAACTGCTTATTGACTACCGGTAGTAAAGGACCCTTACCACGCCTTTAGGCGTATAGGGCATATAGGGCTAGACCTATATTTTTATAGACCAGTCGGCACAAAATGGGTGATGTGGTCAGCATCACGCCGGCCGCCTTTACTTTCCAGGGACTGCACCCGGTACCCACTCAAGCCTGGGTCGACCTGGTAGCCAAGGTCATTTTTGAAAAAAGTCTGGCTCCGCCAGAGAGCGAACCCACGACCTTCTGATCCGCGGCGAGCGTCTAGCCGCTCGGCCACATTGACTTTCTTTTCCACTAAGTAACTCACACTTTTCTTAATTGATTTACTTTGTATAGTCCATGATAATCGCTGCTGGTAGTCATGTCTGTTCACAGCCTACTGTGGAGTGTTTTTGCTATTATTTCTATCACAGATTATCTCTCATGCTATTATTTCTATGACAGATTATCTCTCATGCTATTATTTCTATCACAGATTATCTCTCATGCTATTATTTCTATCACAGATTATCTCTCATGCTATTATTTCTATGACAGATTATCTCTCATGCTATTATTTCTATCACAGATTATCTCTCATGCTATTATTTCTATCACAGATTATCTCTCATGCTATTATTTCTATCACAGATTATCTCTCATGCTATTATTTCTATCACAGATTATCTCTCATGCTATTATTTCTATCACAGATTATCTCTCATGCTATTATTTTTCTATCACAGATTATCTCTCATGCTATTATTTCTATCACAGATTATCTCTCATGCTATTATTTCTATCACAGATTATCTCTCATGCTATTATTTCTATCACAGATTATCTCTCATGCTATTATTTCTATCACAGATTATCTCTCATGCTATTATTTCTATCACAGATTATCTCTCATGCTATTATTTCTATCACAGATTATCTCTCATGCTATTATTTCTATCACAGATTATCTCTCATGCTATTATTTCTATCACAGATTATCTCTCATGCTATTATTTCTATCACAGATTATCTCTCATGCTATTATGTCAATGTGGGCAATGTTTTTTTTTTTTTTAAATCTTAGACTTCATCTCTTCCTCGAAGATTCCCCTGTCGATAAACACGCAAAGCGGACTGCTGCCAAATCACCCGCAAATGGAAGCCTACGAGTATCTCGGAGTTACTGCCTTCGCTGCGCCAAAGCTTCAGACGTCAGAGAGGTCATCGATTTAACCCTAGCCCCGTCAGTACCCGCATAGGGCTGTTGGTTAACAATTAGCATGTGCCCTAACTATAACCACTTTGGAGGTTCAACGGGGTATCTGGGATCTGTCTTGACGTTCTCCCGATCAGTTTGAGATTTTTTTTTTTTTCAAAATCGATGGTGTGGTAAACCTTATACCCTCAACAGGGGACACAACGATCGCTTGATAGATCTCAGTCATCTGGAAAATTGGTATCCGTAACACAGTGGCAGCAGTTGTAAAAGATTGACTAGCACGCTTGATTGTCTTGTAGGTATGTGCTTATATCCAAATTTAAATCTAAGTCGTCATCTTTATCCTCATCAATATCCACATTCTCCTCACTACAATTTTTATAACCTTTATCTCCATCATCGTCAGTACCATCATCACCTTCATAGTATTTATCATCATCATTATTACTATTAACCACATATTTTTATCATTATCATCATTACTTCCATCCCCATCACCATCCCTCCTTATCATCATCGTCATCACCCTCATCATCATCATCACCCTCATCATCATCATCATTGCTATCATCACATTTATCTTGATCACCGTCATCATCACCGTCACTATCATTTTCATCATAATCATCATCCCCATAACAACCGTCATCATCATCACCATCACCACTATCATCATCACCACCATCACTACTACCATCATCATCATCATCACTCTTGACGTGTAAGCTCGGTGAGGATGAATATTTTGCAACACAATTCTCAAAGGGTGACAAGTAACACTAGTTATTGTTCTTGTATGTATATATATATGTTTAATGTCGTTAATGCATAAATTGGAGATGTCAGAACCCGGGATCCTAAGCACATTAACCCCCCCCCCCCCTCCCCTAACCACCTCCTCTTCCACCCCTTTTTTCCGAAAGACAATATCGGTGCTACATTTAGTTAGCTTGTGGTGTATTTAGTATTCTATTGATAAAGTATTTAACCTGAAAGTTATGTTGTATTTGTGTGCATTCTTTCCATTCCCTTTGTTGAGCTTTCTAGTCAGAGTTTTGGTTGAATTTAGTATCACTGATTAGGCCAGTACCAGGGCAGTTCTTTTCCAACACTGAAGCAGCAATAACACCTTCACAAAGACCATCAGCTAGCTAATATATTACACAGTACGGCATTATTCATATCTTTGTATGTTTTATAAGGAGCTTTAATTTCTTCTTCATTCTTTATTGCGTTCGGTTTCGTATGCTCAGATCAGACCATCAGGTGGGCTGCCTCTATGAACTCGCATTTCAGCAGCATGTCCTTCATGGTTCCCCATAGCTTGCTCTGTACAATTTGCTCTTGTGGCCAGGTGTCTTTTCGAAGTTGTAGATAGAGTGGGCAGGTCTGCAGAATGTGCTCCGGTTTTTGTGGTCCTGTTTGACTGGCACACTGTTGGGACTGTACAATCTTTTTTTTTATGCATGTAGTAGTTGAGCCTACAGTGTTCTGTTCTTAGACGGAAATTTTTTGTATGTTGCTTTATGTTGAGTCTGCTGATGGGGACTAGTGAATGTTTACTGTTAGTTTGTTCTCTCCACAATTCCTTGTGTTTTCTCTTGATAAGTGTTCTGATTTTTGGTAATAACAATGAACGGGCGCGTTGTTTCGCCTTTGTTCCATATATAATTTTTTTTTTTTTTTTTGCAAGTCTGTCTGCTAACTCATTTCCTGGTATGCCGCAGTGAACCGGGATCCACTGATGAACGAGTTGATTGTTTTATGTGAGTCTGTTTAGCTGACGTGTCAGTTCTTTCTCCGTGCTGTCTCGTGGAACACTCTAAGTTGCCTGAAGGAATGCCATGTAATCACAAAGAAAAGCAACTTTGCTGATTTAAGCATTTCTTTTCTCAATCCATTTTATGGCATCAATAATTGCTCGCATCTCTGCTTCGAAGTTTGTTAAGAAACTTCTGGAAGCTTTTGACGTTTCTGTTGTGGTCCCATCTTGCACCATGATGATAGACCCAGCTCCTCCGTTTTTGTTTTCTGCTCCCTCCAGTGATCCATTGGTGTACACCTGTGTCCATCGGGTTTAGGATGGAAGCTTTAGACATGTTAAAAGATCTTTGCATGCAGTAATATATTTCATTCTTTTGTCTTTCTGTTTATGCCTGGAATTATTGTTGTGACAGTTTAGTTAGGCTGCAGGTCTTTGATGTATGCCTAGATCATTTCCCACTTTGAAGGGTATTCACAAAGGATGTCACATTTAATTTGAAACCCATTTTTGTCGCATTACATGTAATTATATGTGCTGAACATCATCATGTCATATAAGATAAGTACTTAGCAATAAACTAAAATAGTGCTTATAGCCCATGCTTCCGATGTTCTATTTCTGGCCTTTAAGAAAATGGTCGAGTTGACATTATATCATCTTAAAGAAGCCTAAAGAACGTATTTCATTTGAACGCATTCTATACATTTAACTTAATCTTAGTCGAGGTTTCACCCTCACTGCAATCAGCCCCCACCCCCTGCCCCTTTCTATACTTGCTCCGATCCTGTGCTAGTAAAAATCAAATGAAATGTTCCAGACTGTCTGATTTGAAGAACTGGTGAATTAGCCTCGAAACAAGCCAGAAATTTGCACAAGCAGTAAATGTATATGGCAGTTACTAGAGGCGCCAAAGCCAACAGCCGCTACCAGTCTTATACTTTATAAAGTTGCAAGTATCAGCAAGCACGAGATCTGGGTGCTGCAGACTGCGGAGGGGACGGTGCTACTTTACATTTGTCGCTGCCAACCGTCTTTTTCACTGAGGTCCCGGCTTGTTTCTTGTTTTTACAACAGCAAGAGTCAGAAGAATCATCACCAACACAACAGCAACACCACAAGATGAATATCACCACGATCATGCCTATGAAGGCACCGAAACCTGCTGCTAGTCCCTTTGTCATGTCGTTGCTGTCAGCTTTCTAGACAGAAAAAATTTAAAAAAAAAAGATGAAAGATTGAAAGCGGTATAATACATTAGTGAATAGACGTTAGCAAAATGGGAAAGGACCCTTTTCATAGCCTTTAGACGAACTGGGCATGTAAGTGAAAGTAAAGATTCCCTTTCACCCCTTTTAGGCGTATCGGGTATATGAAAAGAGCGCCCACATTTTCACATGCCATCGGCACTAGGCGGGTAATGTGGTCATCATTACGCCGGCTGTCTTGACTTCCCCAGGATAGCCGCCCTGGTACCCATTTAAGGCTGGGTCGACCTGCGACGCCCCGTTGCATGATAAAAATCCACACACTGGACATGTAAATCCGATATTTTATAGACAATCGGTACTTGATGGGTGATGTGGTCAGCATCACGCTTGCTGCCTTTACTTCCTATAACTTTACCTGGTACCCATTTAACGCTGGGTCGACCAGGGACCCAAGGTCAATTTTTGAAAATGTCCGGCCCGTCAGGACACTACCTTCTGATCCACAAATAAATTTAAATTACAATAAACAGGCAAAGGATTATTTTTACCACAGTGCCGCTTCAGGCAAAAGATGTTATGCTTTAAATAAAAAATACCAGTCTGTACTCTGTGGGTGATGTGGTCAACATCTCGTTGGTCGCCTTTACTTCCTCACACCCACATTATCTGTTACCTATCTTCAAGCTAAGGTCAGTATTGACAATGAAAATTAGCCCTGATGTGGATACGCAACCAAACCATCGAGCTAGCAGACGAGCCTAGTGGGAAAATAAAAAAGTTAAAATCAAACTGCCCTTTTCCATGTCTTTAGGTGTTATGGGCATTTGGGACGGGCCTATATTTTATAGACCAAATCGGCACTCAGTGGCTGATGATGTCAACATCATGCCAGCCGCCTTTACTTTCAAGGCTATACACCATACCCCCCCCCCCCTCCCCTCAAGACTGGGCCAGTCAAGGTCATATTTTAAAACAAAACTAGTCCGACTCCGTCAAGACCCGAACCCACGACCGTCCGATCAGCAGACGAGCGTCTAGCCGCTACACCACGACAGTGTTCCTAGTGCAAATATAACAAATATATATATAAGATTAAAAAGAAAGTTTCTTGTTTTGAGTTATAATGTTTAAAAAGGACACAAAAATATCGTTGTTACCATATTATATTTTTACAAGTTGCCCCAGTGGGTTGTGATGCCTTTTTTGTGGTAAACACCGCTGCATACTTACAAACATGTCGTAAAAGCCGTATGATTAGGGATTTTCCTCGCAGAATTGCTATGCATTAGACCCAGAATATCTTACTAACCAAAAATATAAACTAGTCACAATCACAAACAAGTGAACGTTGCTGCTAGAAAGCGTTCATCAGTACATAACACGAATAGATAGTACAGTTACAAACAAGTGTGGACAAAACGATTCTTATCCAAATGGTGGCGCTTTGTGTCCCCGGGTGTTTGTCCATCGTTGTGCGGTCTTGGTGGAGTTGAACACCACTCACTCACTCAGTGACTAGAAAGTGCTGCATTATCCTAATCACAACATCCATTATACACATTTAAAAGATACGAGTGTAGGTAAAATAACATATAGAAGGAATAAGGAATTAGCAGGGACCTTTCATGTCTCACAGCCCCTGTTTACGTCTCTCACCCCGCCGCATATTCACCATGCTAATCAGGGTTATAGAGTCACACCTGTCGCCTTAATCGACTTTGCGATGTGCAACTCACATGGCACTGAGAACATCGTTTGTGACCAACTCCAAAGCAGTTTTAATAGCCGCATTGTCAGCCAGAAAAATCTGCGTAACCATCATTTTAAACTCCTGTTAGGGCTCACACACAGATAAAGGTTAAATTCGTCATTCCTGATGCAAGTAATGTTTAAAACAGTTATTTTCCGATGAAGCCGGCCTAGGACAAAATACGTGCGACTGGGCTGAAAACCTCATCATTGGCTGACCATGTTGTAAAACGTAGAGACAATGGAGGAAGATAATTTTTTTTTTAAAGCACATTTGTCGCTCCATCTTTCTGTTTGATTCATTTCATAGATACTGAGACAGAAGAAATATGGAAATGATAGTGATAAGATAAACACAAAAAAGGCCCTAAAAATATTTAATTGCGCACCCAGACTTATGCCTTTTGAACCGCTTCCTAGTTTAAAAAAAAAATCTGACCTCTAACCCACGTTTTGCAAAAAAGACCTATGACCCCAACATGGAGGTTATGCTGACCAAGCGCCGAATTTTACGATATCAGCATAAGAGTATTAGAGGCAGAAATGGCGTTGTCTCCGAAGCGGATCGATATTCGATCGATCGAGAGCAAGCAATCGATGTCTGATATTGAACTGGCTAATAGACATGTTAAACAGTTTGCCACCGGCCATTTTGATTGATGTTACACACTGAGATAAGTGTGCCTGTTGGGAGTGAATCACTCAATGAAAGAATTATGTAAACTGCAAAGTAATAATATATGGTTGCGGGGGAAGATGAAGATTGAGACAGTGTATATTTAAAGCTTAAGAATATGGCCAATAAATATAATAACTATCATCACCAGCATTGTCGTTTTTGGGTGTGTGTGTCATAAAAGTCTGCTCCTCCGTTTAGTTCTATACTGTGTAATTCTTTCAACATCATGGACTAAATCAAATCCTGCACATTTGGCCTCTTTTATCAACCTTAGTTTTAGGGTTTCATTTCGATGTCCCCGCTTCCTCAGTCACTGTTTTTTCTATTTTAGTCCCCTATGGGTGATTCACTTCTCCGTTATTCTTAGGAGGTATCAAGTATCATCTTCATTGCCTTATAACTGTTATTACAACTGTTTGACCAGACCATTTCTTTTATAAGCCCTCTTGAATTCATTCCATTTTATGTTCAACTGTTCCCTCAGACATTTGTTTTTAAACACGTGTAACGTTCACAAATAACAACATGGGTTTAGTGAGAATGTTCAGGAGGATAGCAGTGGGCTGGATATGAAGACAATGGTTAAAGTCCCTGAGGAGGTTGGTGCTGACAAATATAAGTTTCATTTTTGTGACAGGGCAGTCAGACGTGCAAGGAAATGAGCAAGTATGCAGGTGAAGCTACTGTAGATGTTGACAAGACATGGACCAGGCTGATATTCTGAATGTTGTACTATAGAAGTAAGACGTTTGCGAGAATCAGGTGACGAATGAATATGTGACCATGGCCAGACTGCAAGAGCAGCATGTTAAAATTAGTGGTCAGCCAAGGCACTCTGCAGGAAGCAAAGACGAATAAGAAACCACTACAGAACTGGTGTTGTCCTGAATTTACGCTCCTGGATTAACTGAAGGAAAAGGAGGCAAAAGGATTTAGGAACTTATGCAGGAAGTTTAACCTGGACAACAAATGCCTGCAAAAGTTGGATGTGTCGAAATATCGCAGCTGAGTTGTAAACGGTTGAAGCGCATTTTACGTCTTCTGGCGCACGTAGAAGAAGATTCTCCTGGTCTGCAGGTGTAAAAAGGTTGAAGAACACTACTTCAGAAGATATGCAACTAACTTGTTCTTTACATTCTCCAGACACTCAACACGTGGGCATTGGATATAAACAACAAAATAAACTACCTAGCTCACGACTCTAATAATTAACTTTGGTTGAATATGATCGATCACAGACCAGCAACTAATTTAAAAGTTAGGAGGCCGCATTGTTTTTCAAAGTTCCGTGGAGTTAAGTTAATTACCCTCACCAAAGGAACGGTAAATAGTGTCCGCTGTAAGCATATCCATGCGGGACTTACACTTTTTAGTTTCAAGTGTTTTGTAATAATAAAATCTTCTTGAAAATTTGGTTCGCATTCCAAGTTCTCTGAATTTTGGTGTCAGAGAAAACGACACACGCACACACACACACTTACTCACTCACTCACTCACTCACTCACTCACTCACTCACTCACTCACTCACTCACTCACTCACTCACTCACTCACTCACTCACTCACTCACTTACTCACTCACTCACTCACTCACTCACTCACTCACTCACTCACTCACTCACTCACTCACTCACTCACACTCACACACACACACACACACACACTCACACACACACTCACTCACTCACTCACACTCACTCACTCACTCACTCACTCACTCACTCACTCACTCACCCATTCATTCACTCACTCACTGACTCACTGACTAACTCACTCACTGACTCACTCACTGACTCACTCACTCACTGACTCACTCACTCTCTGACTCACTAATTCACTGACTGACACACTCACTGACTTACTGACCCACTTATTCACTGACTCACTCACTGACTCACTCACTGACTCACTCACTGACTCACTCACTGACTCACTCACTGACTCACTCACTGACTCACTCACTGACTCACTCACTGACTCACTCACTGACTCACTCGCTGACTCACTAGCTGACTTACTCACTGACACACTCACTGACTCACTCACTGAATGACTCACTGACTCACTCACTGTATATAAAAGCTAAAACATGTTGAACAGCAGTGCATAGCAAAAATTCTTCTAGCAGAGTACCACATTCGGATGGATACCAGTCTTAGATTAGGGCTAGCAAATAAATGAAACTCAATTAAACGACAGAACAAACAAGGCAATTTCTTTGGTTGGCAGCTAGTCATCCAGGCAGATTTTATAAAATTGTACCTAGGTTCCCAAAGTGCAACATGTTTAAGTGTTTACTAGGAAATGTCCTGTAAATAAAGGCGGTCTGATTGACGGTGGTCAGTAAATATATGGATATGTCACCATGTACGGGATGGACCAACAGTGTTAAAATGGTCTTTAATTACTTATCCATTCTGCCGAGAACCAGGCTCAAAAGTAAACACAAAAAATTCAATGTATTCTGTCCTCTCATGTGAATACTTTTGTAATGAGCATGTGTGTTTGATAGAAACCTCTTGATAAAAAAGATTTCAAAGCGGTGTAACCTTTGTCTTTCACGC